GCTGAAGACAAAATATGAGCAGGAAAAGGACCGACAAAGCCAGAAGCTGAACAGGTAAGCCCAGTTTCTGTGCTCTGAGCCTGGCAGGGGCTGCTGCTCTGCAGGGCTGCTCCTTGATTTTCTCCTTCCCAGAGGGCAGCAGGAGCATGAGGCTATGTCTGGGGTTGGGTTTCATTCTCAGATTAGAGGAAAGCCCCATCTGCCTTCCCTTGTGGCCAAGTGTAGTCGAGCTGATGTTGGCCACTGGACTAAATGTTATGTTCAGAAACCTCTCAGCTTGAGAAGAGCAGAATGTTGCTATGTCACTCTGATTTGGGATTCAGTGTAGCTCTTCATCAGCTGGGGTGTCCTGTGGTGAGGGCAGAAGCAGAGATGGAGCTGCACTGCCTTCTCAGATACACTGAATTCCCTGTAAAGCTCTGGAAGGTGTTTCTGATCCCCAGCCTGAAACAGCAGCCAAGCTGGAATCCCTGTGTGTGTCTCTTACAGTGTCCCATCCATATTGCGTAGCAATAGATTCCGCAGGGATGCCAGAGCCTTGGAGGAGGACGAAGAAATGTGGTTCAATGAAGACGAAGAGGAAGAAGGCGAAGCTGTTGTACCTCCAGTTGAGAAGTCAAAACAGGAGGATGACTTTCCAGATAGCTATGAGAAATTTATGGAAACTAAAAAAGGTATTTACTCCATTTGAGCTTGTTGGCACTGGAAGGGCTCCATGGCATGGAGTAGCACCTAAACTAACGCGTGCTTTGTGCTCTGTACCTCAAGCAGCAGTGCAGGGTATTCCATGTAATTGAGTCATGAGATCCAAACGTGTCTTTGCAAGCCAGTTTAGGATTAAAATAACGAGTTAAACTGCTTGGAGCACGCATCTGGTTTAAATGGTGTTCAAAAGCAGGACTCTGAATGTGCCTGTGTGCTCCAGGTGAGCCATGTCCCTGTGCCCTCAGCATCCAGGCCCTGCTCAGTTTGCTGCTGGTGGGCTCAGGATGGGCTTGGCTGGGGAACCGAGAATTGCAGCAGAATTGGAACCAAAATACCTGCTGGCTCTCGCCCTGCGATTGCACTGTGATGTGGATTGTACTCCTTGGTGTGCAGCTGATACCTAAGTGTGACAATGTTTGTCCCTCAGCTAAGGAGAGTGAAGACAAAGAGAATCTTCCAAAAAGGACTTCAGCTGGGGGATTCAAATTCACTTTTTCCCACTCAGCCAGCGCAGCCAACGGTGCGAACGGTGCAAACAGCAAATCCGTGGCAGCTCAGACATCACCAGCGAGCTCCAACGGCTCCTCCTCCAAGAGCACGGCCCTGAGCCCAGCGGTGCCGGCCCCCAAGGTGGGAGGACTCGTGGGGGGCTGTCCTGCACAGGGCTGTCCCAGGGGAACAGCAGCAACAGCAACAGTGGGCAGCAGGGCTGAGCTGGGGATAAACTCTCCCTGAGCTCTCAGTGAATCCCTCTCTGCTCTGGGCAGCTCGCAGTGGGGCTGGGCTCTGCTGGAATGTGGTGGGCTCAGTCTCATCCCACATCCTCTGCATCATTTCACTGGTGCCGCTTTTTGTTCTGCCCGGTTGCTGCTCTGTGTATCTGATGTAAAAGGAACTTGGGGTTTTGGGGAACCCTTAGTGCCCCCCTGGCTGGGGAATTAGCAAGAGCTTTTGAGGAGACAGATGCACTGAGTGACCCCTCTGTGGTGCTGACTCAGCCTTGCATTATTGGAATCCTCAGCCATGGAGCTCCTGAGCAGCTCCAGTGGCAGGGATTGATTGCCCACCCTGAGGCTGAGCAGCCAAAGGGATGTCAGCCTGCACGTTGGAGTTCCTGTCTGTCCCGCTGGGCTGAAAGAGAACTTAATTCTCAGTCCAGACCCAGAGGAGTCAGGAAGCTCCAGTACATTTTGCAGCTTGAGGTTCAAGCAGGTTTTCCAGACAAATAGGACTTGGAATGCCAAAGGCTGGTGTGCCCTGGACAGGTTGGCTGGAGGTTTTGTTCAAAATTGGCATCTTTCTAGGTACTTCTTCAATATAAATATTTCCTTTTTTCCTTTTTCTAATTGTCAGGGAAGTCTAGTTGGGCTAGTGGATTATCCTGATGATGAAGACGATGATGAAGAGGAGGAGACATCTCCAAGGAAAAGACCTCGTCTGGGTTCATAAAAGAAACCAAAACTTTGGAATAAGAACTTTTATGATGGGGTTTCAAATGCTGCAACTGTTTTAAGAGCTAAAAAGAATCCGATTCAGAAAGCTTTCTCCCATGAGTATATAAGATAATACAAGGAGTAGCAAAAGAAACTCGGTGTATCAGCTAGAAAGGGTTAGTTCTGTAAACACAAAGCTTCCAAGGAACTTAATGTCTTTCTAGAAAGTAAGGAGTCTGCCATTCAGGCTGTCAAAAAATGAAAAATTAAAAAAAAAAAGGTGGGTTAGTATTCTCAGAACCTGGATGATGGCTTCTCAGCAAGGAAAGTCTCAGGTGTCGGGAGGGAAAGGGGGAGGGAAAGGTATGGTAACACTTTTTTTAAAATATTGCAGGGTTTCCCCAGTGTTTTAACAGAACTAGGAAAAAAAAAATTCAAGCTTAAATTCTGAACCCAGTAATCTTAATTTTGTAATGGTGCTGTCAGTTGTGTTCTTTTAGCAATGCCTCTTTTAAAAAAAAATTAAGGGAAAACTAACTCTGTTTGCATAAGAACAATCCATATTTTGGGACCATTTATTACCAACTAAACTGCATTTCTCATGGTTGGAGGGGGAGGGATGCTGCAGTTATAGTGCATGTTGAGTTGTTTAAAACAGTTAAAAATAAGTTTTAATTTGTATTTTCCAAGAGGAGAGAATGGAAGCTGGATTCAAAATGGAAGGTTTTGCTTGTTTTGTCAGTGAGACGTCTAGAAATATCTATGCCAAGGAGCAGTGGCTTCCCAAGGGTCCGCAGGAGCTGCTTGTGTCTCGGTGGGGCTGCACCCGGCACATCCCTCAGCTGTTGGCTCTGGGTCGGGAAGAGCCCGAGTTCCAACCGCGCTCCTCTGCGGTGTTCCAGGGGCTGCCTCCTCCTGGAGCAGCCATTTCCCTGCTCAGGAGCTGGAATTGCACGGTTGGGGAGGGAATAAGCAACGCTCACAGGTTTTTCATAGCGATGGACCGAGCAGCATTTTAACACCAAAGTCAGTTTGGACCAAGAGAACACCTTGAGGGCTCGGAGGCGGAATCCACAAGCAGCGCCTCCACCTGGGGGTGGTACAAAAGCTGCTTTTTTAAAACACAAAAGCACATTCCACATAGGTGAGTGAACTGTGACAGGAACAGGGGAGTTCATGGCAAGGTGACAGAGGCAAACAGTCCAGGTTTTATTTTCAAGAGCAGCACATGAACTGTAAATATTTAATGTTAGTTTGCCCATATGTGATCTGAGATCATGACTCAGTGAGAGGAGATTTCCCAGCGACTGTGTCAGCGATGTTAAAGATGGAACCAGCTGCAATCCACCACATAGATCACTCTTGTAATATGTGTTATGGGTCCATTTCTCCTGGAATAGTTTAAACTGAAGCAGTTTCTCTGTTTTGGAGATTTTTGTAGTTAGTTTTAATTTTAGCTCTTGTTTGGAAAAAGATGGGCTGTCTGTGTAGATATGAAGTATAGTTTTTTCCATAAAACAGAAGTTTATTTTGTATTAAAGATACCACTGTACTTGTTTTACACCATTTGTATACATGTGGTGATATTAATGCTGAACTGTAAAATTCAGGAATTAAAATGTGACCCTGTAATTCCATAATTATTGCTTTTGTTTGGTTTGTTCCACATGGTAAGCGAGCTCAGATTTTTCAGCGTGGCTGTTGTAGGGTATTGTTTAAGGTTAGTTATCCGTGCAGGTTTCAAAGTAACTCCAGACTACTGGATGGAATGGCTGAGCTCTTCCCAGTGTGTAAGCAAGACACAGGTGCTCTGCTGGACCTGGGTACAGTGGTGGTGCCTCTGGAGAGCTCCAGGCCACCCAGCACAGGACTCTGAGGGACCACCGGTCAGCCCCGGAGCCAAGGAGGTGTTTGCTGGTAAAGAGAAGCTGCAGCACCATCCTTGTGTGCTCACCCTTGAGCTGCTTTGCTTCCCAGTGGCTCTTTTGTCTCCATCAGTAAAGAAGATTGACAGGCCATGAGAGCAGCAGGTACCTGGGAAGTGCCTTGGCTCACCTGAGGAGAAGTGGCATCCCCCGGAGCATGGAGCCGCGTTCCCGATTCTCTCCAGCAGCCTCCCAAGCTGAGTTCTCCAGGGGAGCCTGAGGAGCGCCGGTCCTTGCTCTGCTCCCCAGCACGCCCACACTGCTGCAGTACAGCAGGAGCTTTAAAAACACTCAAACAGGCGCTATTTCACAGCAAAACCAAGAATGTTATGAATTTTTATAATTCCTAGGAAAGGACTGGGTGCAGTGGCAGTAGAGATCCCATTAAACACCAGCCTGCAATCCCGGGAGAAGGTGACAGCCAGCACTCTCTGGCCTTTCCCTGGGGCTGGCACCCCACAGTGCTGGTTCCCAGTGTGCCCTCCTGGGCAGCTGTGCTTGTTCTGCCTGGAATTCCACTGCCACTCTTTTGGGGCAAGAACAGAACATCTGCCAACGTGTACCAGTTATAAATGCTATTTTAATAAAAATTCCATGAAACTCAAATGGGTGGGTTTGTCTCTTTTCCTGGGAGTTGCTGTGGCAGTCAGTGAGGTGATGCCAAAGGGCAACCTCTTTCCTCTCTTCAAATTTGACACAGCCAACCCAGTAAAGGACTTTTAAAGATTTCTGCTACTTGGGCAGTGAATCGCTGGGAACAGCCTCAGCTTTGCACTAAAGCAACTCCTTTTATTTAAAGCTGCATTTATTGCAAACTGGGACCTGGAGACTGGGCAGCTGCCCCAAAAGCCTGTAAACCACTGTAACCTGGTGTTAATTTGTCAGTGTCCTGACTCCCAAGGTACATTGGCTTTCTCACAAATGAGCTGGTCGAGGGTGCACTTCCTTGTGAAACCAGACTTTATTACACTGCACAGCTGAAAAGAGCCATTTGTTTATAACGGGCTAATGAAAGGAACCACCTTCTGCACTGTTGAAATGGAAAAGTTAAATTGTTGAGCTTGGAGCTGTTGCCACAGGAATTCCTTTCCCAGCTCTCCATCGCTGCCTCTGCTCTCCAGGCTCAGGGCTGGAGCAGGGCTGTGCTCTGCAGTGCTGGCACGGCCTCGCTGCGGGGCAGAGTCAGGGAGTTTCCAGCACTCTGGAAAATGAGTGTTCACAGTGTGGCCTTTGAAATAGGGAGTTACCAGCTTCTGAGCTGCTTGTCTGCAAGTTCTATAAATCCCAGTGCAAGATTGGAAATCCCTTCACTTACTGATACTCTAAAACATCCTTCTGTTCTTGGGGTCAGCAATGAGCCTCTTAAAACTACCGCTTATTAATTACTTCTTCTTTTAGCTTTTCTGCAAGCATCTTCCTCTTCTGGAGCAGCATTTGCTTCTCTTCTGACATTCCCTAAAAACAGAGTGAAAACAACACTGCAGTAGCAACCACCAATCCCCCACCATGGACCAGAGGGGAGTGGATGGGGCTCCTGCCACCAGCCCGCCCTCTCCCACTGCCCTGATCCCTGTTTTGGGAGCCCCAACTGCAGTTCCTGCTGAGCAATTGTCCTGAAGGCTCCCCAGTCACCAGCATTTGGGGCACCTGCTGAGCATAATAAAATGCACAGAGACTCTGAAAAGTATTTGAGGCAACAGAAAGTCCTTGGACTTAAGTTCACACCCTTAAGTACTTGGTCTATAAAATAAAGTAATGATTTTTGGGTTTGAAATGGAATAGTTACTACATTGTTTTGTAATGTAAGAGGGTTTTACGGTATTTTAGTATTTTCCTCTTTTTTGGGAGTTTTCAAGCATTTGGAAAAGAAAAGCCCCTGAGATTTGAGGAGCCCAAACAGTTGGTCACAGACTAGCAGCAAGCTGGCATTTTATCCGTTCAGAAACTGAAGTTAATCAGGAGGGTTTGATGATGCCGAAGCCAACCAATGCCAACTTCATCACTGAACCTTCCAGCCCAAAGGCTCTGCAAAACCAGTAACTTGGAAATATTTCCCCCCTTGTTCTTTTTAACCCGTTCCCACTCTTGAGCAGCAGCATGGGCACCTGCACTGAAAGCACCTGTGGGTTCATATGAAAGTGCTTCACCTCTTTGGGAGGGGATTCCTCCTCTTTCTGGTCAGTGCTTGCTAGTGGTGGTGGTACATTATTTTTTGACTCTTTCTTTGTAGCCAACAGCAGGTCTCGTTTTTTCTTTAGGTAATCCTCACGTTGCTTCAGCTGCTGCTTTTCAGTTTCTGATAAATCCTGGGGGAAAAAAAATTAAAATTTTGAAATTAATTCTTTTGTATCCATATCCTGTGCAAGAAAAGCACATTGATATCCTCTTTGCTTCCAAAACTGCCAGGTGAAAACAAATCCAAGTTGAGGCTTCAAGTCAGAGCTGTCTCCTAAGAAATTACCAAAGGACTAAATCCTGAATTCTAGTCTGAAACCAGAAATCAGGAGCTGAACTTTGTGTTAATTAAACTGTGAATAACATGAGTGTTCACATGTTTGTTTTTAAAAAAATCCAAAATAACTCAAACCCACCTCATTACAATTACAGAAATTCTGTATTTAAATATAATACTATTTTAAATATATATTCTACATGTAATCCTCTCTTAGGCATTCTAATTCTATATTTGGCTTTTTTTTCTTATTTGTTTTTAACTTACAGGTCCTCTCACCCCAGCTTTTTGCACTGTGTTCTCTGAACCTTTCCCAGCAGACCTTTTCTTAGTGTCTTCTTTCCCCTTGGTACAAGAGGGCTGGGGTAAGTTTTCAGTTCCTTTTTGTACTGGGCAAACTGGTTTGGGGTCTTCTTTTGTAGATTGATGAGATCCCTCTAAATAATTTTACATACAAAACAATTAGAATAGAAATACATCAAGTAGAAATAATCAGTCAGAACAGAACATCATGAAATAGTAAAACATGCCATGTTGGAAGGCATTCCTGCAGGGCAAATACACTTTGCTCACAGCCTTATCCAGCCAAGTTCTTAAAATCTTGATACAAGTGGACTCTTGAATCATTTAAAACCAGCATCACGTTGCCCACTCAGCACTGCACTCCCCCTCAAATTACCTAGTGGGCATTTTGGGGTTTCTTCAGAATCCTCAGCTCCCTCGGTGGATTCCTTAACTTTGACAGCTTCTCTCGAATCTCCTGGAAAATTGTGGGTAACATCTGGAGCTTTGAGTTTAGCACGTGCCTTGAATTAGAAAACAAATAAACCTAAGTGTTACATTTCCTGGCACTGTACCTCAGGTACTGAACTGTCCACACAAAGGAATCTCCCAGAGGAACTTCCAGTTAAAACTGCATTGTTTACACTACAGACAATGCAACCCTTCTCTCAGAATTTCTGCCTAGAAATTGCCTCTGCTGTTGATCAACCATCTGATTCATGCCAGAACCCCACACCATTCATTAAAATATGAAATTATTTTGTGTTAAAACATTCTTTTAACAAAAAACGTGTCACTGTCCTCTAACTATCACCTTCTCTGGCCAGGTCAGCTTGACTGGGTGCTCTGCAATCTGGCTTGTTTATCAAGAATATTGATATTCTTGGTGGTCTGTAGGGATTTGGATAAAACCTGCCTGTTACCCCAGTCAAGGGGAGCGTTATTGCCATGACTGCACTATTTGGCCAGTCCCCCTTTACATTCAGTTTCCTTTCTCTGTGCCTTAGTCTGATGGACACCAAGGGATGGTCTCTTGGAGAGGATTTCTGGGTCCTGGTGATTAGTTCTGTCTTGTGAACACTTAATGAGTAACTACACTCTCTGTCAAGTGATCCTGAGGGTAATTCCTGCGGGATTGTCTGCCCTGTCATCTCCAAGCAGCTTACACTTTGAAGGCTCTTTGATCCTGACAATATCAGCAATTCAGCTGCTCTCTGGATCTGAAAGGTTGACACCCGTTAGCAGGATTTCAGGATTCAGGTGCTGAGCAGGGAATGAGCTTCCTGTGGGATACTGCCTTGATGGAACACACGGCACAGCCAGGACAGAGTATCAGGGGATTTCTTAACCCTCCCCACAACTCACATACAAAGGTAAGATACTCACTTCTTCAGTCCTCTTTCTCTCTTGTTCTATTTCATACTCTTCCTTCGATTTTCTGTAACAGTAAACATGAGTAAATACTTAAAACTCATTCACAGGTAGTGATTTTCAGGGAAATTTAACACTGCTTAAATATAAGAGGACTATCAAAGCAATTACAAGGTAATTTGTTTTAATTACAAGGAATTAATTACAAGGTAATTTAATTAATTACAAGGAATTTGTCAGTATCCAAAATATTTCCATGACTTAAGTCTGAATAGAAATAAATAATTGGGATAAACACAAAAGAGCCCACTGTCCTCAACTATCTTCATGCTAAAATAATTGTGTAAGAATTTCCAGGACTTATCTATCCCTTTATTTAATTTGCTAATTTAAAGACAGGAAGGGAAGTACTTCCAGAATTCAGAAGGAAAATAGCATAACCTGGATGGATTTATCTGGTAGTATTTATGTGTCTGTGAGGTGGGAGTGGGGGAGAATCTGCAGAAGTTTTACTGGTCTCACACTTATATCACAGCAACAACTCTCACTCACTATTTCAACATTCCTAAGCCCACCCCCTGCCCAGCACCACCCATCTTCCCTCAGGTGGGGTGTTGACAAGAATGTTCCTGTTATCTGTAAGATGAAGGCAATTCCCTGGAAAAGGCTGGAAGAGTTATGTCCTACAGAGCTATGTTTTAAAAGAAAGTACAAAGTGGGACTGATTAATTTCTTACCTTAGAACCTCCCTGAGTATTTTCATTTCTTCCTGTTCAATTTCACTGAATACATCAGAACCCTCTGTCAAACACTCAGGCAATACACCTGGAAAACACCAAGATTTATGCATTATTCTGTGGAAAATGATTTTGTGCTCCAATTGGCAGAGAAGAAAATTTAAAAAAAACCCTCGCAAACACAAAATCACATTCACCAAACCAAAGCCATGTAATTCTTCCTCTGAAACTGTTCCCACAAAGGTCCTAGATCCTAGAGGAAAAGGTCCTAAATCCTGGTAGGAAAAAGGCAAAGATTTCTAGCAATGCAAGTTTTGACATCAAAGGTTAATGCAAACTCTGCATTGACCATTATGTGGCATTTCCCCTAGGCTGCAACGCAGCCATGGCCACCTGAACCACTCCCAAATGTAGCTGTTATATGAATGGTAAAATTTAAAAATTATCCTCTGAAAAACACACATAGAGTAAGAAGTGAGTGAAACTAAAGACAAGGAAGGAAGGGAAAGGAAGGGAAAGGAAGGGAAAGGAAGGGAAAGGAAGGGAAAGGAAGGGAAAGGAAGGGAAAGGAAGGGAAAGGAAAGGAGTGGGATTAAAATCCCTTCAAAAGCATCACCAGAGCAGCAAAATTGGGTGTGGATTATTTTCTCTTCCATCTTCGTCATGCATGTGTGAGCATGATGAAGGCCCTAACTTGTGCTTTCTGAATGGATTTTTCAGAGTAAGCACAGCAGACACCACACCATCCTTGCCCTGCAAGGAGCAGAATTCCAGCTGTTGATACTGCTCCGTTTGAGGAGCTGCTCTAACTCAGACTCGTCACCAAAATTCTGCAACAGCAAACTCAGTCAGGTTTCACAGAGAAATTGAGACAGACCTGAATTTCTGTCCACTTTAAAATACAGACAGCTGTCACTGAGAGTGCAAGCCAAGGAGTAAGCAATGAAATCCCTGTCCCAGTACCATCAACTGGATGTTTTCCCATAACTTGAACTGGAGCAGAACCAGCATTCCACACCCATTTATGAATGGTTTAAAGAGTCATCAAAGGAACACTAAAAACCTGCAGTGAACCCCCCTGTTCATCATTTCTCACCATTTCTTTCTTTGATGATTCGAATTGCTTGCAGTTGCATTTCAATATTTTTCTGTACCATCATTTTTTTAAATAGTCTAAAATCTTCTGCTGCCAACACTGTTTGCAGAATGGCCTGTGGGAGGAAAGGTATGCACAAAATTAAACCCCCACAGAAATCCTAACCAGCTCAGTCTGACTGAAATGAGCTGGGTTTTTCAATTCTGGGGAACATGTTTTTAATAATTGTATTTCATTCTCCTACCTGGCTATTTTTCCAGATATACAAGAAGAGATCACAGTCAGGAAAATAACTTGGGGGGGCTATGTCAGCAGTAACATTATGACAATATTATAATGTTATGACAAAATTGGGTTTCCCAGTGTAAGTTTACAGCTGCAGTTCAATTGAAAATTACAGTTTCACCACGAAAACTTTTCCAGGTTTCATCTCCTGCTAGCTGTGTTAGGAAAAACATCAAGCTAAGAATGAAATCCATACATTCCTTAATGAAGGCAAATACCTGGGAGGTGTGGGTCTTTGCAAGAGGAGAAGAAAAAGCCTCTTGAAATTTCTCCTCATTAATTCCAACTTCTTTAAGGTAGTCCTCTAGTAATCTCTCCACCTGTAAGAAAGTATAAGCCTTACCTTCTAAGGTTTTTCCCTGAGAATCCTAGGAATTTTTGTCATGATTGTCTATTCTTTTCTGCTGATGTTGTGGTTTATAAAGTCAAAGGAAAATCACTACAGTAGTGATTACTGACTTTTCTGATGTCAAGCTTTATTTGTTTCCATGAACTGTTCAAAATGAGCATTTTTATTGCTAAATTTGATTACTCCTTAATGTATCTTCTCCAGTTTGCAGGGTTTTCACTCGTGCACCTTTTCCCCAGACTCCTGGCTAGTATTCCTCATGGTTTTTTGATGAAAGTAGAAGGCTTTTTGCCAGTCTGTGCCTGAAAGCCTTTAGGGTCAGAGCAGAAGTGAATGTTGGTTTGTATTTATTCAATCAAAGATTTTTAATATCATGTATTCCCCAGCCTCCTTACAGAAAGTGTTAGAAATCTGCATGTACTGTTTTATAGGTATTTAAACTCCAAAAATCTCCTGTTGTTTTTTTCTGATAATTGAAAGGCAATTCAAAAGATTTCCCAGACTCATTAGTGAACAAAATAAAAGTTGTGAGTGCTCTTAGACATCCTGCTGGTTGTCATTTTAACTTGTCAGAAAATAACATTATCAAGCTTATAAATACAATCTTGAAGGTAGTGGATATATTAATTTTAATGAAAAATATGTAAAGCAGCCTAAGAGCTATGACTGTGTCACAGTTTCTTTTCTATGTACCTGGTCTTAGGCAGAAAAATGCATATGACAACTACAACTCACAGGATTTCTAAATAATGTGGAAAAATCCTAAATAACAATAATAACCCAATAAATAAATAACCCAATAACGCAATCACAAGTTCATCTAAATACTCATTTAGCATTTTAAATTGTTTTGCTTAGAAATTTACCACAAATAGTGAATAATGCTCACCAGAGCTTGGTACTCCTGATAAATTTCTGTGTAAGACAACTTGCTTTCTTCTTCATCATCGAAAACTGAGGAAGGGGAAGAAGAAACATTTTGCAGTCAGTGTACAAACTACCACAAGTTAACCTACACCCTAAATAGCAAGATTAACCTTTACAGGGTAATATATTTAATCATTGAAAGTACAGGCCATGATTTATAAAACTCCTGTGTTTTTCCACACACTCAGGCTAAGCGTGTACTTTTGATAATTAATAACTAAAGGAATTAAGCTGCATAATTTAATATTGGGAAAATGTATCTTCATAATAGACTTGTAAGCAAGTTGAGGATTCAGTAGATACATTCACTAAAAAGTAAGTTTTAATATAAGAGCTACCCCATGAACCTGTGTAAGGTTCTGGTGGCAGAAGAAACATCAAGCAGGAAATTCCTCACTCTCCGTCTGTTTACATGGAAGATGTATTTATTAATGACTTAAAAAAAATTTTATGAAGTGTCATTCATGTAGTGAGAAGCCAAGGTGATGCAGGAAAATGAGTCCCTGCCTGCAAAACCAGATAAACCCAAAGAGGAAATGTGGTGCAGTTAAGTTATATTTTAATTATATCTATCCTGATTTAGGAAAAATGGACATTCCTATACTATAGGCCATTTAATCATATTGATGTAAATTCATATTAAAATCCCTAACTGAAACTACCTAAGCTCATGATCTCTATGCTGCAGAAAATGTAGAAAAAGCAGAAAATAAGAGGAACTGAAAACTAAGGTTGGGGAGAGGGGGTTAATTTACATTTTTTTCATGCCAACAACTAAGAGAGGTAATGTAAAACCTGGAAATTAAAGCAGAGGCTTAGAAATAAGACTGCTTCAATCCCCTTCAAGATTAGGCACTTGGACAAGTCACTTCCCAGGAACATCCTTTGAAGTCATTTGAGGAATGGGAATTCTGCTTTAATTGGTGTGTGATTTATTCCTCATGTGCATGTGACATCTCCGATGGTGGTGATGCCTGTAGAATCAGTGCAACCTTCACACAAATTCAGAGTGACTTTTTGAAGGCATCCAACATCTTTTCCAGCCATGAGGCCACACCACTCCAAACCTGGACACTCAGTGTGAGCTGAGGTGGCACTTCCTAAAGCAGCATCACTTTCTAACACAGCAGTGCAATGACAGAAACCAAATCACACACTTCAGATCCCCCAAAAGCAGAGGAAAATCTGCTTTTTAGTCGTGCTTTGGAAAATCAACATTGCTTGTGGGTTTTGCTCAAGGCAAAATTTAAAATGAAGAAATAAAAATAAAATGTTTACAAACATCTAGGATTAAATTCAAATGGGAGGGAAGGTATTATAGACATCAGTTCTATGGCAGCCACCACATTACCAAACTCAGGAGGGTGGAGACACTTGGCAGCCTCTGTTGTCTCCTCCTGGCTGGGGATCCTTCCCAGCTTTACCTTGGCTTCTCTGCCCCCTTTTTCCCCACCCTTCCTGCCCTGGGCATCCCAAGCAGGGGTGACACAGGGGTGTCACCGCTCAGTGACAGCTGGCCTGGCACTGCCAGGGGGAGGTTCCTCCTGCAGAGGAGAGTGGGAAGCTGGCACACACCGTGCTCTGTCCCCAGGCTCGGGGCACAACGGGATGAGGTCGAGTGCCAAGTAAAGCAAGCTGCAGTCAGCATCTCCTCTCAACTAAGTGGCTTTAAGGAGTACTTGGAACAGAGACCCTGGATTTCCTTGAGTCAGGGCTCCTGAATCACGCAGTCATTATTCCTTAAGGTTTTGGCACGGTCTTTGGTCGCCCAACAGGAATAAAGATCTGAAGAACCACAGTATGAAAACAAGCCAGGGGACACAGATGTCCTGGGAGACCCTCACTGTCTTCCTGTTAAAACTGAAAACCTTGGCTAGGACCCCTCGAGTGGGATGATACACACCCGTCTATTTAATTTCAGTTTGATGTAAAAGAAAATTAATCGAGCTATAAAAAAATAATCAAGGTCCCAGAAAGAGGGAGAGAGAGAAAGCAAACATTTACTCACAGATAGAAAAACATTACAGTAAGTTTACAAGTTGAAGTGCAAGGACTTGGCCTAAGTAACTATAGTTCTAAAATAAATTCCTCACATACTAATTACCAAAATCCAAATTGTATTTTCGAGGAATCACAAATTATTGCCAGTTAATCAGACTGTTGTCAATTTGCTTGTCCAGCCCAAAGATTAAATGTTTTGGGAAGGCAAAGGACTCTGTCCTGACCAACTATGTCAGTAGAAAACCAGCAATGGAATCAGCACAACAGGAAGTGACCATCACGCCTGCCTCACACTAGGTGGAAATTTACAGCGGTTCCACAAATCTTCTTACTGTCAGTAAATTCCTCTCAACCTTCTAAGGAGAAAGGATCATTGCTCCTGAGAGGGATAAATCAATTCCCTCGATAGGTAAACACAGACCCTTTGCACGATAACCAGAATGTTTGGCCCACCCCAAGTTTAGGCAGACTTCCCTGGAGAAAACTTCCAGTCTAGGTTCCTCTAACCCTTCCTAGCTGTGAAGGCTCCTGGAGTTTTCCCTTCCTCTTTTCCCAGTTTTAAGAAGGAAAGGTGTACGGACTCACGACAATCGTTCCTCATGCAAAGTTTCAGGGGTAGAAACAACTCAGGGAGAAACTGAGAAGCAATTTTTTTTTTTTCCAGGAATCACAAACAGAAGCTGTCTTTGTTCTTCCAGAGGGCTCAGGTACTGCTTTCAGACTTGCCCAAATTCTCCTAACTTTGCCACTATAAGCATCCAGGTGTTTTTTGGCAGCAGAAATTGTTCTGTAAGCAGCAGAAGTAATTTATCCAAATGTCTACATCAGAAAGTCTGTTTCCTCCTTCCCTCCCTGCAGATACAAACCTGCACAGGCCTCCCCCGGCTACAGAGCAATCCCGGCCCGCCCCCGTCACTGCCTGTACTTCCACTTTACCCAGTCTGCTCCCCAAATCATGCCTTGATTGTCTCAAGAAGACCAAGGAAGAAATGGAAGTTTAACTGGAGTTACTTCCGAGCTAAACTCACACACACGATCACCCACAAAACGTCCCCGGTAATCACTGCCAGTGCTGACCATCATTTTTGCGAGGTACTAAAACTCAGGGGTTTTCACCTCTTGACTGACAGCATCCACATAATTGCAGGAGTTAAACTTTGGGCCTTCTCCTCCTCTGTCTCACCGACCAGACGGCGCTTTCGGCTGCCCAGACCAGTTTCCTAAGGAAAGCTCCCGGCTCTGGGAGAGCCTTGGAGGCTGTGCCGGGGTCCGAGGAGCCGCAGGGTGCAGCGCTCGCTCGGTGTGAGCCGTAAGCTCATGCCATAATCCCAGGACGAGCTAATGGATGCAAACGGCACCTCCCGACACCCGGCTGGCCCGGGGGACACCCGCGGCCGGGACAGACCCGGCGGTGGCCTCGGGGGACCCGCTCACCCTCGCAGTTGTGCTCCATGAACTCCAGGATGGGGATGGACCAGGCGGGTCCCCGCAGGAAGCCGGCGATGGTGTCCACCACCCACTCCACGTCGTCCTCCTCCTCGGCCGCCATGGCCGGCGGCGCGGCCGCTATGGAAACCGGCGTCACGGGGCGGGACCTGCGCTTCCCACCGCATTCCCGGCAGCGGCGCGGGGAGACAGGGCGGCTGGCAGCGGCATCCCCGGCAGCGGCACCTCCTGCAGCGGGGTCCCCGGCAGCAGCACCACTGCTCCTGACAAGGAGGAACGGAGATTAGAGCCTGCAGGGGTTGTTGGGGAGAACGGGCGGCCCGGCTGTGCTTGGGGATAGCCGGGATAGGAGGGACGCTGGCCCTGTGCCCTCCGGAGGTGTCCAGCGCTTCCAGCGCCTCTACTACGCTTCCACACTATAGTCCAGCTCGGGCTTCTGCGTTTAAATGTTGTAAAAAAACACTTCAGGTGATGGGAAATTCCTGTTATCCCCTGTTTTATGGCGTGCAGTGACGTTGTGGAGCAAACAATATCTCGCGTGTTCCTCGTTAGCAGCTGAAGCTCTAATTGTAATGTTAATAGCTCATCAGGCCTTCGAACGGATAATATTTAACTTAGCGATACTGCAGAAACCCTACAGAGCTAGAATTAGGAAATAATTTACAAGGCAATGGGTTAGAAGGTTTTAATCATTTGGATATTTCTTAAGGTTAATGGCCGTGGTATATTCCTTTTCTCCACTGAATTAAAGTAATTTCCCTTACTGTCCTCATCTCTTGCGCTGCTGACCAAGTGAAAAGTTTTTCTGAACGTTTTAATTTGTGTTCTTTCTAATACTGGGTGATTGCTCGCCTCACTGGTGCAAAAAAAGAAAAAAAAATAATCTCTTCATCCTTTTTGAAAGATTTTAATGCCCACAAACGGTGGTGGCAGTTCCAGTTTGTTACATCAGGCTTGGGCTTCTTGCTCAAGAACTCTTGTAGCCATTAATGAGATTTTACCTGTACAAAGTTTCAGTGCTTGGTGAAGGCTAATTTATTTTCTCGCTATTTTTTCTCAAAGGAAACAATTCTGTGCCCTCAGAACTGCAGAGAAGTACCCGATCATCATTTAAATAAGAATCTGCACTGGAAAAACTTCAAATTTTCCTTTTGCAGGACACTTTTTTTTCACCACTTCCATTTCTACAGCCAGTTTTGTGGTCAGAGCATCAGTGGTATGACAGGATATTCACTTGCTGCCTTGTCCGAGTCACATAAAGCATTTCTTGCTTGATTTTCTTGCTACTTCAGATATTTTGACAGATTAACAGTTAAACATTATTAGTTTTAATTACTCTTTTGTTTAGGCTTTAATTCTCCCATCCACCTAGTTTGTAATAATCTTACTGCTGCAACAGCTGTACATATTTTCACCTTAGTGAACTTAATGCAACTTTTCCAGTTTGTTTTCATAGATTTTCATTTGGGAGGGATTTTTTTTTAATAAATCCGACCTTAAAGAGAACACTGAGCTCAAGCTTCTGAAAACCTGTGCTGCAAAAGCCTTTTCTTTCAGTACAGTAGACAAAATTAAACATGACTTCTGTATAAAAGGTTGAAAATTAAAATACTAATCAGTTTGGGTTTGTTTGCAACAATTTATTGTGGAGATTTTTTGGTTAAATATGCTATACTTCAGGGACTTCACTGTACTTTAGTCAAAGCTAAATTAGGAGAGAAATTGGTTCTGAGCAATGCAGACACATGGAAGAAATGCTTAAAGTCAAGTAAGGAATTGTGAGCTCTTCATTTTCCTCCCCTTTGGGATATTGAGCTACTACAGGAACTTGTAAAGATCTTCCTATTTAGGTCATTTTCTTTCATTTTATAAAGCTGTTCTTTTCTCTTGTGACTTGAAGGTTTTATACAAATGTAAGGCTGTTTCAGAGAATCCATTCTGCCTGAGAGGCCATTCCTAATATAATTATCTAATAATAAGTGTATGCCATTGCTTTTCCTATAATAATGCTTCTTAGCTAAATTATCTAATCTTAAAAGCATCTCCAGTGTCCAACATCTAATGCTTTCTCTTTATAGCTTGTGAAAATAAGAGATGATAGAATTACAAGAATATTCTTTCTTCTCTATTTTTGATTATTTTTTCATTTATAGCCTTGCCACAAACCATGCATCTTTTACCCACACATTTATCCAAAAGTTTGTCCATAAACCAAATTTCATGTATTTTCCTGAAGCAAATTTTGTTCTTTACTTAGCAACAATAGGATTTATTCCCATATATGCTTTTCATAGGGATTTTCTACACACACATGGTGTTTCAGTAATTGCTGCAGTGCTTTTACCATTGTTTTTTTAATGTGGTGTCTGCACCTCTTGAATTCTTAAAAGCCTTGTAAAGATTTAGATTTTTCTGTCCTATTTCAGGTGATTGTTACTGATGGAAGATGAACTGCAGCAAGGTGAAGTCTGTGGTTTGATCTGAAGCCTGTGAGCTTTGTTATTCTAATCTCTTCTGGCGTGGAGTTCTGCAGCCATGAGCAGGTTAAGAAAGGAAAAAGAAAAAGCCTTGTGACCTTTCTTTGGAAGAGGAGAGTTTCACTGAACCAGGAAAGGCAGCATCTGTGGGGTATGAAATGGTATCAGAGGGTATGAGATGGTTAGAAATAGTAAAATAATAAATTGGCAGATGCATGGGCATTTTATTTGTTGCACGATAAGAGTGGGAGAGAGTCGGGGAACGTGGTTGCCACAAGTCCATGATAATAATAGTTAAAAAAAAATAAAAATATTACTTATGGATTTGGGGGAAATATCTTTATTTCTGAGCTTAGGATACTTTCTATGCAAGTCCAGCTTCCAACATCTTCAGCCAAGAGTCATGAAAGCTATGCAGAAAGACTTCTCGTTTCAATTTCTCTTCAGCTTTTACCACTGTGAGAATTATGCATTTTTAATTTCTTTGCAGAACTTCCCTTAAAAACAACTCCTCGATATTAGGATTACTCAAGTGTTACCTGGGGCTGTGTGGGGAGTGGGACTAGAAGAGATCTGGAGGCTGCCCAGCCTTGGAGTTTCCTCGACTGCACAGTGCAAGAGAGAATTTATTTGAGACATGAGTTTGGTTTGAGTCATTTAGTGTTACCTCAGGGCTTGGCTTTCAAGAAGGCATTTACAGACAAAGCGCTGGTTCTGGGGGCTCTGGGGAAGAGCTGCAGTTTGCATTTCTGAGTTTTATTACCCACATGTTTCAGTTGCTCCTAAGAACTTTGGCTAATTGCATTGTATTGTTGATTATTAAAGCCAAAGAAAAACCCCAAGGAAGACAATGCACTGGAGTGCCTCACAGAAACTGTGCTTTCTGCTGCTGAAACAGAAAAATCAGTTGGATGTACAAGAAAGAAATACTCCCATGGAGATACAGATGGAAGTGCTTTGTACAGAGCCTCATCTGTCCCATTCCATGGATTTCAGGTGTATAGGACTTGTAGCAAGTCGGATATTGGAAGAATTACACAAATTAGGTGAGCAGAGTGCATCTGCTGGAGAGCAGCAGCTTATCCCATTTTCCAGGGTGTGTTATCTGGCTGCCAGGGGCAGAAGGGACTCCACTCTCACTCTCGCAGCTCACTGATGTGATGGAGCCCCGTGTCCAGGTGACATAGCATCACTTGTTCTGAGATCTGAGCCCGGCTCCTCACGCCGCCCCATTAACTCTCCTCACTGCTGCCATTGGCCTTCCAGCAGCTTGCAGGTTGGAGTGAGGAGTTCAGTAAGGGGTTTTGCCACCACAGCCAGCACTGGAGAGAATAGAGGTGCTGCTGTGGTGCTTCCCTCTTGCTGTGTGCTATTCCCTTTCTATTTTCTCAGGTGCCACCTACTCAGGCTCATCGCAGAGGCTCTGTTTGGAGCAGAGGAAGAGCTGGACGTGGTTGCTGAGCTGTATCTCCCTGAATATCTGGATACAGCTGCCACACCAGTAGGTGTGACCTCAGGAAGGCATAAAAACCAGAGCTGAGAGAGGAAGAGTGGAGCTTTTCACAGCTTCATGAACAGGTTAAATGATAGCAGCGTAAGCAGGGCTGCTCCTGTTCTTACTTGGAGGAGACACTGTAGGATTCCAGCGTGTGCATGTTTTTCATTAGGCTCTGTAACTCTTAATAGTTGATTTTTATGAAAGCACCATGAGTTATTTATTAAGCAGTTTGTATTTGTGGACTATGGGATTTTTACTTGTGCTTTAATGTTAAGATTAAAAAATAACCAATTTGGCAACTATGCTTTTATAGAATTTTCATCATCAAATGACGCTGTGTGTAATCGTGGGTTATTTTGTGACTGAATCATGGATTACCTCACAGTAGAGCTCAGAGCTGGGGGCTATGCTGTCATTGCACCCCCTGCATGTCTTGCTCATGCTTTTTAACCTTGAAAAACTTGCCAAATATATCAAGTGTATGAAACATTAGATTTTATAGGAAACAAAGACAGGGAATGAGGTGAAATGAGTAGTACACAAAATTGTGATTTTAAATTAGTTTGGCAATGGAAGGCAGACAGTGAGACATTACCACTGCACAAAGCTTTTTGCCCTGGCTTTTTCTGTCCAGTCTTAGTTCTGCTTTCTGGAGAGGAGTGAAAGACACACGTGCTCTCAGCTGAAGGGGTCAGAAGTCAGCCATGAGCTTTTGTTTTCAAAAAAAAGGGAGAAAGGCTGACTGGAGAGCCTTGGGGATAAACCACTGTCCCCAAAATGAAGGAGCTTTGGGGATCTTGGCAAACCAGGATTATCACTCTGTTTGTTGGTAGTTAGGGCTCTTGGGGTTTTATTGTCTTAGGGCTGGGGTTTTTGGGGGTGGTGACTGTGATGTTTTCTTAGCCAGTTCCTGGTACTGGCCCCTCAGAGCTCAGTGTCTGTTCGCAAGTGTTTGCCCCGATGATTCTCTGTGAGGTTTTCTGGAGTTCTGCTGGTTTGCATATGCCCACGGTGGGCTGGCAAACGGGGCTCTGAGGCTCACGGGGTGAAGCTAATCCGTGCTCCTGCACTCTTGGCAGAATTCCTGGCAGGACTTTAGGCCAGGAGGGGAGTTGGATGGAGGACAAGGGTCGGGGGGAGGTTGGAAATTGCATTTAAGG